ATTTTTATTTTATAACTTCACATTTTTAAAGTAAATAATTTTTAAAAACATTTTATGCAAAAAAGTAAATGATGATATTATCATATAGCAAGTAAAAATTAAAGAAAAAGAAATGCAAACGAGTGCAAACAATAACAAATGCATGCAAGCCACGAGATGCTGTGTATGATGATGAAATGTAAATTTGAAATTGGATTCTTAAATATAATGAGGCCACATTGACTCCTCAACATTTAGGTGGAGCTTAGGTGTGACTATTCTTATTCAAGATCCCATTTTATTATACTTTCAATTTCATTATTAAAGTGAATTAAGGACTTATGTGAAAAACTTAATGAAATAAAGTTTCCTAAATACCCCATCATCTAGGCGGCATTCAAGAACAAATTATTTTGAATAAGATTTTCACATGTATCTTTAAAATTTTGGAATGGTCTTGGCTAAAAGTTTGGGTCGAGGTTTTGAAGTTTGAATGATTTTTTTTTAGTGATTTGGGGTTACGCTAAATTTGAGGTTTTTAGAATTTAGGATTTTAAGGTTTTGAATTTTAAGGTTTGAGATTTTTTATTTTAGGATTTGAATTTTAGGGTTTAGAAGGTTTATGGTTTAATTTTAGGGTTTAAACAAAATGCAAACATCTCTAAAAATCTCTAACATCTAAACCGATTTTTGGAACAAGTTCGATTTTCATAATTGTTGAAAATTAATTAAAAATTTTTCATATTTCCTTTTTTTATGAATATTTATTATCAATTTTATTATTATTTTTATTTATTATCCTTTTTATATATATTTATTTATAATTCTCCAACTTTTAAGCGAAATTATTTTTAAAAAAATGTTTTGATTCCTTCCAACATCTGGGTAGGGAAAAGAAAAAAATTTATTACTATTATCAATCATTTTTTTATTTTATTTTTTTAAAATATTTTTAGCATTTTTCATTATTATTTTCTTTTATTTATTTATTTATTTAATATTATAAAACAACAACAAAATCTATTCTAGCAAATTTACAAATTTTAATATGCATAAATATTAATAATAAAATTTAAATCAACGGTCTAGTCAACGTCAATCTGATTGGTTTGACGATTCAGACTGATTTTCTGATAGTTCAATATCGGTTCAACTAGATCAATCCTAATTTGAGACAGATTGCGAGTTGGGTGCGCGGACGTTGAGTCGAATCCAGGTGTACGCGCAAATCCCTTTGGTCCAAAACGACATCGTTTTGGACTTTGCTCTTTTATATAAAACCAATTTTTTTAGCTCATTTTATCCTTTCTGCTAAAAAAAAAAACTTTATTATTTTTCTCTCTCACCCAAAAATCTCCTAAGGTCGACTGACAGCCAGTAGTCAATCATCGACAATCACACCGACAGCTGTGCTTCACCATCGACTGCCAGTCACCGATGCTAAAAAACCTTTAAAACACCCTGAAGCTTCTTTTCTTCATCCTCTTTTCAGATCTAGTGTTTCTTTGGCTGAAAATAACCCCGATTGGTGTAGATCAAGGCTCAAAGTTTTGGTCTTCTTTTTTTTTCTTTTTTTTTATAAATTAAAACCTTTTTTTTGCAGGTAACTCGATGCTAGGTTCCTCGCTTATATGGTGATGACTGTGATTTTTTGTTTATAGGTTATTGTTTTTTTTTTGGGCTTCTATGGACTATGATGGAAGTTTTGTGATGATGGAGAGGAGAGACTAGATTGAAAGGCTTTGGGTGCAAGGTTAAGACAGTGCTAAGGTGTTAGTGTTAGGGTGATAGTGGGTAAGGTGAAGGGGCTTGGAACTGGTGGGCTTGGGATTCAATACTGGGTGGTGTTGTGGAGGTTTCGGGCACGGGTTTATAGGTACTAAGTTTGTGAAATAAAGGTACAAAACGGGTGTTAGGGCTCCTCAACTAGGGACTCTCTAGAAAGGGCCAATGCTTTATAAGGAGGTTCTGAGTGCATAAGGAAGTGGATTTTGGCAGGGCATGGTGGAGGGGAGTGGGTATGGGTTTGTGGAGTTGGAATTAACAAGGTATGGGTGACCAGAGGAATGAGTGGCCAGTGGTGTCGTGCAAGGCACCACTGGCACCCCAGTCTTCTATTTTTTTTTATTAATTATTTTATTTTTATAATAATATTAAAAATATTAATAAACAAAACTTGAAAACAAAAATTAATCTAGTAGACCCAGACAAAATTCGGTATCTATATGTTTTTGTTGAAAATATATCTAATTCATCCACCATTTAGATCAAAATTAAAAATATTCTCTCACTTAAAAATTTATTAGATAATCAACTATTTGTGATTACTAAGAATTTCATCATCTAAATTTATTTATATTTTTATTTTTATTTTATTTCTAAATTTTTCACAATTTGGGTCTATTTAAAATTTTTCTTTTTTTTTTTGGATTTCTAAATTTTCCTCCATTTGGAACAATTTAGAAAATTTTTTTAATTAAAAACATAATTATTTTTATTAAAATTTCATCTAAATTATTCTACAATTTGGGATAAATTTTGAGAAATTTCTCACTTAGAGTTTTCTTAGAGAATTTATCTTTTAAAACTTCTAATAATCTCATCATTGGGTAACTAGTATTTGATTCCAAAAATTTTTATTAATTTTTTTTATTTTTTTATTTTTCTTTATTATATTTTATTATTTTTTTAACAATAAAAATAAATATTAATCATTGTTATTGAAACTTTATCTAAATTATTTCATTATTTGGGATAAATTTAGATAAAATTTTTCACCTATAAATTTTATAAAAAATTATCATTTGAAGTTTTTAAAAAAATTTCATCATTGGATAACTAATATTTAATATAACAAATGTTTTATTTCATTTTTGTTTTTATACTTTTTTTATTTTTTCTAAAGTTTAATCTTGCAAAAAAAAAAAAACACTTATAAAATAAAATATAACGACTAAATAAATAAATAAAATACAAAAATACAAAAAAAGGCTCGGCTTGGCGATAGAAACAGCTCACTTAGAATTTTTTAGATAATCAACCATTTGTGATTAGTAAGAATTTTATCATCTAAATTTATTTTTAGTTTTATTTTATTTCTAAATTTTTCACCATTTTGGTCAATTTAAAATTTTCTTTTTTTATTTTTAAATTTTTTTTTCATTTGGGACAATTTAAAATTTTTTTAATTAAGTAAAAATAATTATTTTTATTAAAATTTCATCTAAATTATTCTACCATTTAGGATAAATTTTGAGAAATTTCTCACTTAAAGTTTTCTTGGAGGACTTACCATTTAAAACTTCTAATGATCTCATCATTGGGTAATTAGTATTTAATTTCAAAATTTTTATTAATTTTTTTATTTTTTCTCTTTTATATTTTATTTTTATTTTTTTAAATTGAAAATAAATATTAATCATTGTTATTGAATTTTTATCTAAATTATTTTACTATTTGGGATAAATTTGAATAAAATTTCTCACCTAAAAATTTTATAAAAAATTACCATTTAAAGTTTTAAAATAAAATTTCATCATTGGATAATTAATATTTAATCTAACAAATATTTTATCTCATTTTTGTTTTTATACTTTTTTTATTTTTTTTAAAGTTTAACCATGCAAAAAAACACTTATAAAATAAATATAATAACTAAACAAATAAATAAATAAAATAAAATAAAAAGCTCGACTTGGCAGCTGAAATGGCTTGATTGGAGTCATAGACAACGGTTCGGGGACATGGCTCGAAGACTCAGCGCGGCTCGACTCGACTAAGAGAGTCAACTGAAACACGGATCGACAGAAGTGGGTTGGTGTTCGGGTCGATCACCCACTGCCAAAACAAGCAGATTTTGGGGTTTATTAAGGTGAAAACGACATCGTTTTAAGACCAATATGAAAGACCAAATCCAGTCTTTCTTATTGAAATTTCTCTTTTTTCTTCTTTTTTTTTCCATTTTTCTCTCCCTCCCTCTCTCTAAATTCTCTAAAAACACCGGATAAACATTCACCGAATTCTAAAAAATTTTAGAAATTTGAGTTTATTCATCGAAAGTTTGTCGAAATTTGGTCAGTTTCTGAAAATATGATGTCAAAAACTAGAAACCTCGTCGAAATCTGGGAATTTGATTGGAATCTCATTGGAATATTCAATCGTCACCGAAAAATTGATCGAAATTTGAATATTTTTCAAAAAAAATTACCAATTTTTTTTTTGTTTTTCAAACCAAAAAAATCCTTACAAATTTCTGACTATTTTTACAGGTGTTTTCCTTTTTGCTTTTTTGTATCTATGTTTCTGTGATTTTTGTAATTTTTTTTGTTTTTTACATCTAATCAATGTGTATTTATAGTGAATAATTAAAAAAAATTTTAGTTAATCACGAATCCACTTTTGATACGATTATCACAAAATATAACATTTATCTATTGCAAATTAAATCCAAACACCAATTCACAATAGAAATCCTCATTATTGTTTTATTTTTAACTTTTTTTTATTGTTATCATCTAACCAAAACCTAAAGATAAATCAACCAAAACAAATAAATAATCAAAAAAATAAAGCCCAAAAAATAAATAAAAAGTACATAAAACATAAGATAATGGATAATTGAGCTTTACTATTTAGACTTTATTAAGTGAGGTTCAATTGATTTGGACCTGATCAAATAGAGTCTCTATAATAATTACTAATATTTTAATTATAAATGACTGTCAAATAATCAAGGTTGTAATGATAAAAAAAAAGGCTGTCTAATAATATCAAAAATAATTGTGTATGTATTTAACTTTTTTCAAGGAAATATTGCCGTAAATTTTCCTACAAAAGTTGCAAACTTTTCTATTGATATGACAAAAAATCCAATTTTTCAAGTTGCTGATGTGAGAAAAGAAGAACTTAAAAAATGGTTAGGCTATAAAGATGATGGGAAATATCAACATTCCAAGAAAATAAACAAATGCATTTATGTTTGATATACTATATTTAGTGTGGTAGGTGCAATTAGCCAAACTAACGCATAAAATTTCATAGCAACATTAAATGGCTCATGTTAAAGCCGTCACCATTTCTATTCCTTTCTCTCTCTTTCTTTTATCATATCCTAGGGAGGCACTTTCTAAGTTGTACTTTGTTTTGCAGCAGTAAACTATAAAAAACTTGAAAAAGTGGTTTTCAAAAGGTTATCATTTTGTGGAAACATAACAGGGTCAGCACTCTCTTTCTGTGTTTTCAGCAACAGCAGTGAAATAAACAGGCATATAATCAATCATAAAACAAAAAATCCAGACAAAGGATTTGAGTTTCCATTTGTTAGTTTGGTTTCGAATCCTCCAAGGTTTCTGGTAACTGTGGTGTTACTTTCCAGTTATCCACCTTTCAAGTAGGTCATCAAAGTTGCAAACTAGACACCCTTTTGAGGTAAAAGGTTAGAATTTTCTTTTCTTCTGATGTTTTGGTTTGATGGGGTTTTTGTTTGATCCGAGTTTTTGAGTTTTCTGTATTGGGGGTGGTCTGATCGAGGTGGGATTGATTATTTTTTTCAATATTTTAAATGTGGGGTTCTTTAATTAGCATTTAAAATTGAATTGAATTCAAAGTACAGTAAATACTCTGTCGGTTCAGTTCATTGGATGGTTGGCTAGCTTGATAAAACGGGTTGATTTAAAGACTTTCATAAGATTCACACCTTCATTTACTTTCTCAAGTTTTTCCTTTTTATCAGGATTATGAGCTAGTTTTGAATTGACACCTTTATTGTTTATGGAGAAATTTTGTGTAGCCATGTAAGGATATATCTCTTTTTTGTTGTCCAATCTATCTGCAGCTCAGATGCTTGATTTAGTTTGGGGATAGTTCAAGAAGTCCACAGGACTGAAGTTTTTACCTTTGCTCGATACTGGTTTTGCTTTCCTACTTCATGTACAGTTTCTTCAATTTTAAGGCCAAGTTAGCTTCTCAATTTTTTGCGGTCACCTGAGTTTCTTCACTTGGTTTCTGGCTCCTTGTCCGATTGGGTCTTTGAAGTATAAAATTTTAAGTGAGTTACTATCTTAGTATATGCCTTTTGAAGCTTCTTCTCTTTTGAAGATGATCTCTTTGAGAAAAAGGAAAAAAGAAAGCAATGGGGAGGGGGTGGTTAAGGTCTCCAGGGGCTATTTTATATAATTTTTGTTCTTGAAATTATTGAAGTGGGCCTGTATGACTGACTTCTTTCTTATTTTTTATAGAGCACCTTGCGGTTGTCCGAATCACAGTGATGTATAAGAACCAGCTGCAAGAGCTAGCTCAGAGAAGCTGCTTCAACTTACCGGCTTATGCTTGTATACGGGAGGGACCAGACCATGCTCCTCGCTTTAAAGCCACTGTCAACTTCAATGGGGAAATCTTTGAGAGCCCAACTTTTTGCAGTACCCTCAGACAAGCAGAACATGCTGCAGCTGAAGTTGCACTTGGTGTGCTCTCAAAGAAAGGTCCTTCAAAAGCATTGGCTGCAAGAGTATTGGTATGTACTTAACTTATTTCTTCCTTTTCTTTAATTAGTTTCTTACCTACTAGCCCTGAAACTTTGAATTATTTCATATTTGACAATCCTTTTGATATTTATGTCTACTAAATTAAAGTAGGTTTGTAAGCGTTTACACATGTAACCTATCATAATTTTCTTCATACTCAATGATTTAAGAATTGTGTGCAAACTCCTTATTTAAGACTTTCCAAGGTCATACTCATAAATTAGGTTGGAAATGTTTTGTTTTCTGAGGTCTATGCCTCTTGCCTTCCGTTGAATTATTGATTATAATATATATATATATGCAACGTTACACTTGCTATAATTTTTTTACCACCTCCGTTTTAGTTCAGGTGGGTAGAAAAGGTGGCAAAAAAGGTGGTGGTGAGACACATTCTGTTGGAGAAAAATTAATGACATTCCACTATTATGGTTTTTAAATGTGGATATAGTCATGGGTGTTGGTACTCAATATAGACATAAAACACATAAAGCGGTAACATTATGGAAGATCTCAAACATGAGAAAGTAGATAACAAAAATGTTTATGCAATGGAATGTTAACTACCCAAACTTTCATGCACATGAGCTTGTATTGATTGTGATCTAGATGCTGTGCTGGAGAGTAGCAGAAGTGCAGAGTACAAATAACAGGAGAATTAGGAAAATAGTACTTATAAATAATCACAAATAATACTTGACTAAGGTGTTTTTTTTTTTTTTAATTTCAAAACCAATTATTTCATGTCCATGATGACTGCTTTGCTGTGTAAGAAATAAAGCAGGAGGCTTCCAATAGTGTTTGACCCCAGCACCAGTAACTATTTGTTTCCTTTGTTTTGTTTTGCTTTTCTGCATGGGGTGTAATTATTACCATGCTGTTTTGCTTTTAGATATTTTTTTGAGAACATTACTTCAAGTTTTAAAATTTACACATGTTTACTTATTTCAATGATGCAGGATGAAACTGGAGTTTACAAGAATCTGCTTCAAGAAACAGCTCATAGAGCTGGATTGAAACTTCCAGTTTATACAACTGTTCGATCTGGACCACGCCATATCCCTGTTTTCTCTTGTACGGTGGAGCTTGCTGGAATGAGCTTTAGGGGAGAGACTGCTAAAACCAAGAAGCAAGCTCAGAAAAATGCAGCAATGACTGCTTGGAGTGCTTTGAAAAAGTGTATGTATTTTTTTGTCCTGGTTCTTTTGGCTGTTTTTCACAAGTAGAAGGAATTGTTGTAGGTAGCTAGCCAGAATGAAAAGAAATTAAAATAGAAACAGTTACAGAACATACTAGGCTTACTGAAGAAGTAAATCTATATGTGTGTAGATATATATATAAATATTTGTATGCCTTTCTCATTTATCATTTGGTTCCTCATGCTGCTGATACAGTGTCAAAGTCAGGCGCTTCAACTGCTTCCTCTCTTTCTCCTTTATCGGAATCTGGGAGTAATGATGAGCAGGAACAGGTAACTGTTGCCCGTTATCTTGCCTCCCTCCAACCACGAGAGACAAACAAGTCATCACTGAGATTCCAGCATCATGGACATAATTCAGCCCCCATCCAGAAGCATGTAAGCCGATATAATAGATCATTGTTTCCCTTACAGCATAGAAGTTGGGCGCATTCTCAAATCTCCCCAGAAGTATCTATGTACCAAGCATGGCTCGAAGAAGCAGCATACCATAATCAAAAACACCTCTTTTCGCTTTCTTCACAACCTACCTCTCCACATAGACCTCAGATTGTTCCATTTATCCATTTTGTGTTCCAACCAGATCATAGACAGTATTTCCTAGCTAAGGAGCCAGACTCCACCTCAGTTGTTCCAGGAATCAGCCCAGTTCTATATTTTTCAACAAATCCAGTACCTGACCCAGGTAAGAGTGTTTCCCAAGTCACCATACAAGAGATAGAGGAAAAACCGCAAGTGGAACAAGAGTGGCTTAGAAGTGATAGAGATTCCAACCACTGGGAAAAGAATTTTATGTCAGTTGCATCAACGCCTTCTCCAAGTTCTGCAATAAATATTTCGGGTTGTCTCAACGGTTACCCTGAGCAGAAACCTCAGAAGAGGCTGGAGGGGGAGAATGAAGAGAGGAGTTTCAGGTCAATGCCATATACTAGTTTCTCAAATGAACTAGAAAGCAACCAAATTGCACAACCTTGTGTTTCATCATCGTTCACAGATGCCAGGCTTAGACCACAAGCAATAAGCATAGATAAGACCAACTTGTCATTGCAGAATCCACATGCCTCAGACTACTTGCACTCAAATTCTAGGCCCCAAAATTTCCCTGCTGTGAGTTCTGCAACATCTGTAACAGGTTTACCAGCTTCATTTGCAGCCCCTCTGATGGTCAGAACAGCTGGTACTTCATGTCCTGTTTCTCTGAGACCCGAAAATTTGAACCTTCAAACGCCTACTCCACCAAGAAGAATCAGTGCTTCTACATGTTCCAGAAGGCCTCGGCTAGAAGGAATGAAGAATGCTGGAGTGAGGCAATCAGCTAGATTCGTTGCACCAGCAGTTCATATTAGATCAGTTGTGCCAGTCTGTTCAGCTCCTCCGGCTAAAAAGCCTCCCGGTCCCAACCAAGAAAGACTGTTTTCCAGCGATGAGGAGAACCAAAGTTGAATCAATAGGAGAAGTTTCAGCTCAAAGCTTGGACTTTGGTAAACTTCATATGTAAGCAACTTCAGAGTTTTTCTTTTTTGCCCGATCTTGTTGCATATTTTCTTTACAGGCAATTGCTGAAAGAATTTTACATGTCAAATGGTATAATGTATAAAGAAACGAAATAAAGAAACATACAAATAAAAGCATCTATTTTTTGTTATCTTTTACCATCTTCTCTCTTGGCTGTCAAATGAAGGTTCTGCTTGCAGAATCTTAACAGATGCTTTAACTATCATGGCTTCCCTGGTTGGGAACGTAGTATGACCATTTGAAGACATGAACATGTGAACTCGGATTGATCATGCCTTCGGGCAGCTTTCTTGATTTCTAAGACAGCTCAGTGCTTTTGTCACGGGCTTCGACCTTAGACTCAGAAACCGTGCGGCCTTAAGTTTGGAATCTCCTCCTTTATGCCTAAGTCAGCCTAAAACACAAACGTGCGAGCATTAGAACAATGGGAAGGGCTGATTACGCAAGTTAAAGAGAAACAGGATAACAAGGTAGAATGCTAGAAATGCTCTTGTATTCACTGAAACAGAAGTGTTTGATGGTGTACAAATAAGGGTGGAGCAGCCCTCTATTTATAGTTGAGGCTCCGGCTACACTTAATGGCAATATCCCTAGAATAAAGGCTAAAATCAAGAGCCGGAAAGGTAAATGTCCGGGGCTCTGAGCCACGTGGGTTCGGAGCTTAAGTCTCGACCCGTGACAAGTGGTATCAGAGCCAGTCCTAAACCGTTCGATCCACGCCAAGCACCTCGAGGGAGGTAGGCAAGGTGGTCAGCCTCCGTGATGAGGGCGTCACGAGGTTGGGTGCGAGAGAATGTCACGGACCTAAGGAAGAGTCATGAATCCCACATCGAACATAATAAGAGGGTCACTGGGGTATAAAAGGGTTCACACTACCTCTGTCTTGTGAGGTGCCTTTTATAGGACAAAACCGTGAGGCCAAAGGGGCCAGAGCGGACAATACCTCACAAGGGTGTGAACCGTGACGGAAGGCTGATTTAAGACGTCGGAGAGATGAATGCCCGGGTCTCGGAGTCGCGCGAGTTCGGAGTTTAAATTTCGACCCGTGACACTTTGGCTTACCAATGCCTAAAATTATTAAGCTTAAAGAAGCTGTCTCTCAAGCCTTACTCATGTGATAAATAAATAAATAAATAAGTAGATTAATTACCTTTTTTAAAGGTGTAAATAAATCAAATATGAAAGAATTTTATTATATTTGTGATCTATTCGTTTAATTAATGAATCATAAAATTTGTTAAACTTAATAAATAAAAACATAACCTTTTGACAAATTGTTTGTCAAGGATGTCAATGAGTAAGGTATAAGACAGTTAGAGCATTTCTTATCTCTTTTTCAGATTTTTATATTATATGCATTCTCATACTTATACCTAACGATTATTTTAAATTTATTTTCATCTTCATTCGCACCCACACTTATACCTAACGATTATTTTAAATCTATCATCATTTTCATCCGCATCTCCATAATGAATACGGTAATTCCCATACTTATAATATTTTTATTTTTTTTAACTTGTATATTTAAATATTTTTTATAAAAATATATTAATTCTAATTAATTTAAAATAACAATTTATATTATTTAATAAAAAATTTATTTACTAATTATATAGAAATATATGTATAGAATACGGATATGAGGTAAGTTTTATATTATATTACTCGTCTCCATATCTACACCAAATAAAATTTTAAAATAATATTTTTTATTTTTATTTTTATACTTATAATATAATATCCATTATTATGTTTATTTAAATAAAAAATAAATTTTTCATTAAATATGAGTAAATTTGATAACGATATTATTTGTGCAACATTATTTTCATTTACACTTGTATCATTTTCGGCCTTTTTCTTTCAAAAGAAAAACGCATTTCTCTTTTCCCTTTAAAAAAAAAAATTGGAAAAGAGGCCTTCAAGAATACGAAATTCTTGTCCCAAGATAGCCGTAGTCGAACGACGCTGTTTCCAACTTCAAATCACAACCTTCCACGTGGACACCACTGATTCCAAGAACTGGAAACCGACAGCAAATTGCCCACGTTGTAATAACAATACTAAACTTGTTGCAAGGTCGACCTATTCATTTTAAGTTCAAAAATTCGTCTAAATTTAAATAAAAAATTAAAATTTATTAAACAAATTTTGATAAAATTTTTAAATTCATTTAAATTTTAGATTAAATTTTAAATTTGAATTCAATCCGTATATACACATATATATACATAAATTATATATAAAATATTTCACGTATATATAAAAATTATATATAAAATTATATATTTTTTATTAAATTTAATTTTTATTTTATATACTTTTTTTAATTTTTACACATATATTTTTTATTTTAATTTTTATATATGTAAATTAAATATAATCTAATTTAATTTAATTTAATCACATTTTTTAATATTTTTTATTATATAAATTAAGTTTAATAGATGAATTTGAAATTTATTTTTTAATTTAAGTTAAATTTTAAAAAAATTTGAGATCTAAATTTTGAATTGAATCAAATTTAAATAAATATATAAATTATTAATATCAAATATGAATCATACCTAATTTAATTCAATCTAACCTATCAACACCTCTAGTCATGACAACAAACTTGCGTGTCATTTAACTTAATGATATCCAACATTAACAAGTATCTCCAGCATTAGAAGCCTTATGAATACTTCACAAAATTTTTTTTATATACCACCAATTTTTTTTCTAAAATTACCTCATGTAGTAAATAACAAATTTAACATTTAAAAAATTATAAAATATTCTCAATAGTTTATACACTTCAAAACCACTTTCATAAATCTTATAAATAAATTTTCAAAAGTTATATTATGTTCTCGGTAATTTATTTTTGAAAAAAAATGATTACTAAAAATTAATTTTCAAAGAAATAATATAATTTTTAAAAATTAATTTTCAAAATTTATATTATATTCTCATAAATGGATTTTTGAGAGTCATCTTGTATTTTTAAAAATTTATTTTGAAAAATACATAAATTTTTGTTTAAATATATATTTAATTATAAACTTTTGATAATGTTTAATTTTAATATAAATAAAATAAATACATTTAATATTAAAATAAAGAATACTAAAATAAATAAATTTGATAAGTTAAGATTTTCAAATATCTCTAATAATTTCTTTGATGTATAGCTTAATTCCACGGGTAAAAATCTCTAATATTTATTGGTGGCAAAAAATTTAAAAATTTTTGCTATCGAATTTATTAGTTAGTAAATGAGATTGTCAAAGTCAATGTTTCATAAGATTTTCGAGTTCAAACTAATATACATGTACACACATGAGTCATCGATATTATTTATTTTTATTTTATCGTATGTACGAATAGAACAAACATGTTAGTTTTCAAGCATATATAAAGATAAAAATGTTTTTGTTTTGAGACCAAAAAAATAAAAATATCATTTTGCCCATGCAAAACAAAAAGAAAATTAAAAAATTAGAAAACAGTATTTTTTATTTTTTTGAAAACTCAAGTGAAAACAAATTTATATCATATATGTTGAGAACATTAATTTCAATTTCAATTATATATATGATCAAGTAAATAGATTTAAAAGTCCATGATTAAAATATTTAGTGATCAAAAATAAAATTGAGTTTCTCTAAAATAAATATCCAAGAAGATTAAAAAATTTTCAAATATTTATTTATGAGAATACTCAAAAATTTTAAAAAATGGATATTCGAAAATTTTTTATGATTTTCGAAAATGAGTATGTGAAAATTTTTAAAATTTGTTTGATATTTATTTTTTAAAAATTCGATTCTAAAAAGTGAAGGGAGATAAAAAAGAAAGAAAGCGTGGGAACGAAAAATCGAAAATAAAGGGTAAGAGTGTATTTAGAAAAAATAAAAAAATTAAGTTTTAAATTTGAGATATATTTCTGATCTCGTGAGAAACCAAAATTGCAGGGATCTGATATTCTGAATTCCCAGCTGGCAAAACCCAAAAAAATAAAGCAATTTTTTTAATCTTCAGGAGGAAAAGATATTAATGATCTTATCTTTCAAAAATTCAGTAGCCAACCTAAAAAAACATGAAGCAATCAGATTACACAATCACCTCACTCCCAAAGGATGTAGCTGTCAAAATTGCATCTTGCCTCGAGGTTTGTTTGCTCTCATTTCATTGTTTCTTTTCTCCCATAAATTTTCAGTTTTTATTTTTTCTTCTTTCTGGGTATTGTTGGAATGCAAATGAGATTTTGGTTTGTTGGTCTTCGGGTTTTAGGAGCCGGACCTTTACTCCTTGGCCTGTTGCTCTCGGGATTGCCGCGAGTTATTTGGGTCGGATTATTTATGGGAGCCGCTTTTCAAAGAAAGATGGCCTCATTTGTATGAAGCTGCCTTGGAAGACCCCGACTTCAAGGTAGTACCATGGTGATTTAAGTTTGGAATTGTTGGTTAAAACTAGACTTTTTTGCTGCTCATATCAGATGATTTGCCTAACTGCTTTTGTTTCATAGCTTTGAAATGGGAGTTTCTTTTTCTTTTTGTAATGTCATTCAAGTGAAGTTATGAGTTAGTAGACCTAGCCATTCATTTATTTGTGTCCTGTAAACTATGACAATTCATGTATTCATATCTGGTTTTACACAAAAATTGCGTGTCATAATTGGTATTGACACTGAAAACACTAAATATATTTCTTGGTTTTTGTTAAAATTTAAGAGGTGTTAGGTTTAGTTTTAGGGGTGCTGGTTAGGTAATGCAATTCTTTGTATTGGTTTGAAAATTTTGAAAAAATGATGACAGGGCTGGAGGAGATTTTACATGAAGCAGCATGAGAAGATGAGAGATCAGGCTGCATCTGTTGTTAAATTTTTGAAACAATGTTCACAATTTGAGTCACTCGAGGTTACTGACTATCTGAGAGCAATTGAATGCCTGAAATCAATGCAGTTTGGATTTAAAGATGTTCAAATGTTGCTGTTCAAACCAAAGATGAATGTTTTGCTTAACCTGGTTGGACTACACTTCTGCCTTGACTGCCTTCAAGTGCCGGTAAAATTCCTTTTTGCATTCCTCTTCTGTTTGTTCTCTTTAGATTGTTGAAATAGTGTTTGTGCTGCTTCTGTTAATGTTAAAACTCAGAAAATAATGTTCTAGGGAAAATGATCTACTTGAACGAAAGAGAAAGAGGAGTTGGAATAGACAGGAATTTCATTATTAGTCAGGTAATCTAATGTCGGTTGTTCCATCTGTTACAGAATTTATGTTTACAGTGGAGACTGGCTGTAATAAGCTCTGAATAATTCAATTCTCATGTAATTAGTGGATAGGAAACTTGTTTTATCTGCTGATGACAACACAAGATTAAATGATTATATGTAGTTAGGCATGCATCCAAAAGCTAAACTGGTCTGCCACTTTTTAGATAATGATCTTCTCTATAGATTTTAAGTTTTAAAACCATATTTTTCTATATGTTTTGCAATCAATGGCTTCAGCCTTGCACATCACACTCCAGCTGTTGGAATAATGTGCCTTCTGTCTGCCTTGGGTGGTAGGAGACGTAAAATTAGTACCTTGATTGGGAATTTCACCATCGTACCGAGAAGTACCTTTTAGAACTGGGTTGGAATGCCAAGTGGCTTTAGATTCAGGGGTTCCCGCTATAGCTGATCACGACGGAAAGATCATTTCTACTAATACTAACAATTATTTCATCGGGTAATGGGATACTTTAAGCAATCCATCAGTTATGTATCTTCGGTCTTACAAAAATACTTGTATCTAGCAAACTCCCTGGGTTGGTGGCGAACTCGCTTAGCTTATATGCTATGGGAATGTTGAACAACTGTATGATGTCCTGATAAATTATGCATCATAATTTTGTGCTTAATGATGTTTTAACATCATAATGGGCAGGCTTTGCAGGTCGTGGAAGCACTTCAGAGTAGCAAGATTTCTAATCGTCAAGTTTGTGTCAAATGGTACCGTGGCAGATTGTTCCATCGCATGCAAGATGAATATCGTTCTCGTTGTGTCTCTCTAGAAGATCTTGTGACAGCGAAAGAAAAGGAGGTGCTGTGGGTACTAGGTCGAGAGCTTTTACGAGCTAAGATATTCATCCTTTCCTAGTTCCACAAGCTATCTCTGGTCTGGTCAAAGCTCAAACTGACAGTGTTAGATAATCGGACAATGACGAGCAGATATGCAACGTTTAATATGTTTGTGATTATGTGATCTTTGTTAGTTGCAACAATTGAGGAATTCAGCAGTCTAAACTGAATGAAAAACTTGAGATTCTAATCTCTAAAGAATACACTTTACTTCCTAGCTGCTTATCTTTTCTGTTTCTTCTGTTATATATAATAGTTTGTGTATTTGTATTTTGTTTAAATATAAAAATTGCTTGTATGTATAACAATTCATATTAATATGTCAAATGAGACATAATTTTTGGATTTTGCTAAATAAAATTGTTGTTAAAATTTTAAATCGTGTCATTTTCTTAACGATTTTCATAGTGTTTTCGTATTGTATCCTAGCCTAGTGAAAGGGGACATGAGGGATTGGTTTTGAGTCGCTCTTCCCCCACCCCTGTATTGAAAAAAAAAAGGAAAAAAAGTTGCTGGATGTCATCCTTCAAAATTTGGTTTCAAAGGAGCAAAGGATCAAATAATTCGAGTTAATATAATTTCGCCTCAATTTACAAATAAAGATGAATTATATTCCACCAAGATTGAGGGAAGAAACTTACTTGAAGAATCGTGGAAAAAGCTAATGGAAACAAAGAAACCTGTAACAATCCATTCTAGTTGCTTAACACTGTTAAAATTGATGGCTTCCTTAAAGTTAACATTATACAAACGTTTCGATGCTGTAATTTTTAGTAATTTTTTATATTTTACATATGTTTAATACGAAATTAATAGTCACAAATACTCAAATTGCTAGATCTGTTAAGTAGATGAGAATGAAACCACTAATCTATAGCTTCCTAACTTGTTTCTCGGCACCTGATAATTACCTGAGTTCATCTATATTTAAAGGAGAAATTGTTGAAATTTGCAGTTGAAGCTGGAAATAAGTTCCATATTTGGACAGAAGAATTCACAAGGCAAGAAAAAGAAACAAGAATCAATCAGATCACTAACATGCTTTTAAGTCTATGCTGCAAATACAAACATTATTGAACCCAACAGCAGTTTTCCATGAAATATAATAAAGAGCTTCCAGATTCTTACAAGTTACAAATGCTGTCATCATAATCTTATTTCCTGCACCGAAGAGACCCTTGATAGATGTGAAAGAAAATTGAATAAACCATCTTGAATCAAAGCTTTTCAACAGCAACGGTAACGGCGTACAGCATAAAAAGCAGGTCGAGGTTGAGGGATGCAAACAGCCAAGAGAGCCAGAGCTATGATCAGAACCATGACAATTTGAGTGAGATCTGGGCCCCCATTATCTGATTCTTGTTCCATGCAACATAGTTTCCCCATTGTAAGATGCTGCTGCCCCAAAAAGCTTCTTGTTTTCTTTTTCTCTTTGTCAACATATGATGAAATGAAACATAAAAGGAACTAAAAAGTAGAATCCTGTGGCTGTCACCAAGTCAACTTGACTTGGAATAGTTTATTTTTAGACTTGGGTTCTTTGAACATAGGTAACAGATTTCTTAGATCTAATCGTTAAATGTGACATAGCACTAATGACAAAACCAAATTTGTCCTTTTGAATTTAATATTCATTACTCTTGGGAATTTAAATCTTATTTTGCTTCACTAGAACGTAAAGTATTTAATTGTACACGATATGTAAATTTAATATAAGTTTTCGTTGAAGCTTTAAATATGGCAGACCTGTAATGGGGTAGCCTTCCCTTCCCAAAACTTTTTTCGACCAGTTTTTTACCCTAACTACTGCACTTAAACCAGAGGTGAGTAGCTGCCATCATCCATCAACATTGATTATTGCTGTAGCTTTCTTTACAGCTGGCCTTAGACATGATTAAGTAGATGATTCAACACTATAATTAACTTAGTCTGATAAACCAATTACCTAACTTTAATATGATAATAATTCTGTCAAGTCTGGTGCTGAAGGTTCTGCTCTCGAGCTTAATGTCAGTTAAGAGTAAAGCCGATTGGCTTTTCAAGTGTATTATATTGGATCATTCACAGATCGAATTCAACAGGCAAACTGCAATTGAAACTTATTGGCAAGTCACATGTTGAGTCAATTTTTAATTTGCCATTATGATTTCATCTAGGTATAATTTATTGTTACGAATACGTGGGGTCTGCTCCATTGGTTTTGGTCAATTAAAAAATTTTATTTTTTTTTCTTTGATCTAAAAAAGCTTTACTTAAATAAAGTCTTAACAAAAAAAAAGTATAATTGAGAAACAAAAAGCGGTGGCGCTGAAACCAAGAGAAAAAAAAAAGTTTAAGAAAATTATTTTGGTTGAATGAAAGTTTATCTTTAATTTAATTGAGTTAAAATTTTATCAACAGATTTATAATTCAAAATTTTACATTTTGAATAATAAAAATTAAGTTTGAAACTTATTAGAAATAAACTAATGGTGTATTTGTTAAATTATCTATTTGATGAGATTTTTTTAATTGTTTCTGTAATTGTTAATTAGCTCTAATTTTAGTTAAAGAAAAATTTTGTATATCATTATTCGATAGTGAATTTTTTTTTGTAGCCCGTGATTTTTTTTCTACAATAAAGGATTTTTCATATAAATGTTGGTATACTTTATTTTTCTTATGTCGTTGATTGTTGATTGTTGTCTATTATTATAAGTTTATTGCAATATATTACTTTTACATTATTGTGTTTATTACTTCAGGTCCAACATTTATGTCACAGTATGGTATAAAATATTGTATTCATATCATATTTTACACGAAAATAACGTATCACAGTTTGTATTAACACAATAACATAAAATATAATTTTTTAATTTTATTAAATATATTTATAGTTTTTACAAAATTTTAAGTTATATTATTTTCGTATATTTTATTTGTATTTTTTTATATCATATCACGGTATCGTATTTTAAATTAACAAATCTAAATTCATCCATAGTTAAAATGTTTTTGATCAAGGCAACAAAAAAAGGAAATGAACCTTCAAAGGAATCTTTGAAATTCATATCAAATCACAGGTCTTAAAATGTGGCTTGACAGATCCAGAGACAAGAATTACATTCTAAATGAAATGTGCAAAGGTATGATTACTGTTGTCATTCTGTTATGCAAGTTCAGACACTTAAAATGAGCATTTGAGACATTGATGAAAAAAGACATGATGGTTGTCGGCAGCTCCATGAGGATTAAGGCAACAGTTACTCTGAAACTCCAAAGAAAATTGAGCTACAAATTTCTTCTTCAGAATTGTAACCGAGAGGGAAGCTGCATGTCATTACCAAGTGGACAACTAATTTCAAACCCCACCTTAAAAGTCATTTAAATTGTGCTGTAACTTTGATTAATCAAATTGTGTTTGTCGTTTGAACAAAAAACAGCTTGCCAATACATGTGATCCTATGATAGAGTGATGGACTCTTAGTTTTAATAATCAGATTCAATCTTGGATAATTTCAAATAAAAAAAAAAACAGCTTCTTAAATCAAGAAAGAAACAGAATTGAATAGTAAGTAATTTCAATGCTTGAGGGTATTGTAGTAAACAGATGGAAGATAACTTGAAATTCAAGATTGGGATGAGCAGCCGCTGCAATGGATTTTGTAACAGCCAATGAAGAGGTTAATTTGGTCTTACTTTCTCAGCCATTGGTTGGACTTTGGTGGTTATATTTAGGTATAACTCAACAACCTTAACAAACTTGTTCCTACATGTTTGTCCTTGTTATCCAAATTCCAATTTACCTTCAAATAATTTGATGGTAATTAGGTATAACTCTTAACCTACTATACCTTTCCTTTCTCAAAGCGCTTGTCAAAATTATATTATTATTATATTTTAACATATTTGATTTAATTAATCTCATTAAATATTAAAAAAACAAAGAAACCATAAATTTACATATATTAATAATTCTCTTGACTTTAGACATACAAAATTAATTTCTTTATATCAGGTTGGGAAGATTAAAATCTTACTATTCGAACAAAAAAAATATGTATTAATTATTAAATCAAATATTAGATACATACAACTATTTCGAGTCACGACATGAACAAGTTGTCCATAATTTTTAGAACTTAATTTTTAATGGATGATAGAGATAGCATAATGTTGTTGGCAAATTTGGGTGCATTTTTATATTGACCTATAGTGAAGATTTGTCTAAATCTTTGCTCTTCTATGTATTAAAATATGCAAGTAACATGGATTGAGATTTCTTCTCATTTACATAGTTTTAGCTAGGATTTTAGGAAAGCACATCTTTAGTGAAACTTCTTAATTAAATAAAAATTATAGTCCAAATCTCAAAATCTAACTATTCCACCTTTATCCTCAAACCAAAAAAATTTACATGAGTTAAAAACATTAATATACATACTAATTAAATATGATAGATCCACATTAGTATATAGGCGTTTATCATATGATTTTTTATTATTATTTATATATTTTTCTTGGTTAGAAATATCAATGGATAAAGAAAGATAATATCTTGGTTTAATAAATAAGTAAATTCGTCTACGGGTCGAGTTATTAATTTAGTTTATACATTTGATCTTATTTGAATTGGACTTTAGATAAAAATTTTTTAGTTTGAGTTTGGTTGATCCAAGTTATTAAATTATTAGTTTTTAATCAAAAAATATATTTAAAATATTAATTTTTAATATTTTAAGATATGTTTAAAAAGTTTTTGAGTTTCTTAAATTCAAAATGCCAATCCTTATATAAAACATTTAAAAAACTCAATTCATGGACAGATTTATAAATAAATATTTTTTTTCTTATTTATGGTCCCATACTCTTATTTGTTTTCCTTTTCACATGTAATGTCTAAGTTAGATTGTTAAAAACACAAACAAACACGATAAAACATAGATAAAAAAAATCAAATTTCCATAATTCTTTTGCTACTTTATTATATTAGTAGTTGCTACTTTATAATTGCTTCAGCAACTTTATTTTTTTGTCCATGACATTTAATTACTCAAAATATATGAATTTTTAATTTTAATCTTCAATTAATCTTTTTAAAAAATTTATTTTAATACACCTTAAAATTAACATATACTTATAGAGTCAAATCTACTGCTATGATTTGAGAAATATGTTACAACTTGTAAACACTCCTATTTGTTGTTTGAAATTTTAATATAATGTATTTTCATATTAATTTTATTAGGTGGAACTATTATTTCCAGATGAGATCTCAATTAATCATATACATTATGGATGATGTGAGGTAATAAATAGTTGGAATTGAAAATTTAATTTAATTAATTAATA